AGAAGACATTCTCTTCTGGCAAAGACAGAGCTATTTTTCACTTCCCTTGGTCACTATCTTTAGTACTTTACATTCTTGGAAACCAGGAATGTGAATATGGATTTATTGTGAAGCAACACGCAATTATCTAATGCCAGTTATGGGGGTGGGGAAAGCCTGTGAAATCAATGCAAATGAAATCCTAAAGCATGACAGACATCAATATAGGCATTGAGGTCTGGTGACAAAGGCCTTATGGTCCCTGAAACTTCCATGGCCTGGGCATTCCCGACTAAGGCCAGTGAGCTATTTACATCTCAGTACAGAAAAGAATCGATAGAAAATGGAAAAACCCTGGCTTTCACACAAAAGATAATCAAAGTGCCTAACCCACGGCGGCCGCAGTGGGACATGGGGGAATTATCTGAAATTAATTACTCTGTTCTCAGGCAAATCTGGAAAAATTGAGAAGGAATATTTTGGATGGAGTTTCTTGCTGAGTCTCTGTAAAAGCACAGGACAGACGACCGTCAGGGTAAGAGGAGTGAGAGTCACGTACGTAAGGATCCCAACCCAGTTCAAGCCAACTTCAGTGTCCGTGGCGGCGGGCTGTATAATGGCCAGCGTGACTGGAAGGGGCCGTGGTGTCTGCAGAGAGTCAGCTAGCACAATACACAGGGTAAACAATACTGCTCCAGCACACTCTCTCGGTCGCTGAATAGTCACTCTTTACCTACATCCCTCCGCAGAAGGAGACATCATTCTTTGGACTCGCACGGGACACCCTAACCTTTTGGCATCTCTGGGCCACACTGGAAAAAGAAGGGTTGTCTTGGGCCACACATTAAATATACAAACACTAACAAAAACTGATGAGGAAAAAAAGGTTTTAAGTAAATTTATGATTTAGCATTGGGCCTCATTCATAGCCATTCTAGGCTGCAGGCTGTGGGTTGGACACCCCCGTGTAGAGCTTCTGGAAGACTGTGCTAATTGGAGGAAGCATATGGCATTCCTGGCCCTTTGTCCAATTTTTGAGCCATCTATGAAGGCACAGTTTGCTAAAAAGCTAACAGAGCAAGTGTGCACGTGGTATGTTGAGTCTCTGTGGGGGTGATTTTACCCCCTGCGCTGCAGTGACTGTGTGCATGTCAGGGCACGTCTGTCCGTTTCTCCTGCATGTCTCCTTTGGATCCCAAATGTCTAGCACCGTGCCTGCCTGGTACATAGCAAGCACTTTGTAGATGTCCCCTAAACCAACAAAGAATTGCTCAAGGAATGAAATGCCTACCCTTTAAGAACCCATTTCATCCTGACAGTTTACGTCAAGGTGGTGGTTCTGATTCACAGCCTAAAAGGAGTCCAACAAACCCGTATTTAATGCTTTCTTAGCGGCTTGTTCAAAATGCCTACTAAATTTATATTAACTTTTTCCTAGGGAGACAAGCCTCTCTCCTTGCCGTCTAAGTGGGTGGGGTTTTATGACAGTCTTGGTTCTCTGAATGGACAGTCTTATCACCGCTCCTTGACTCAGATGCTTTTAATCAGGACAGTGCACTGTGAGTCTGATAGTAAAGGACCCACTATAGACAACTGGGTCTTTGTGTTCTTCTCCGAGTTGGGTTTGACTCACATTAGCCCTGAGTAGTGCACTTATTCTTCATCATTCCTTAGGTTCATAATTTACATTTATATTACATTAGTCTTTAGGAGTTGGGAATAAGAGACCCAAAAAGGCACACTGAAAACCACGGACATGGTTCTTTTGATTACCTCATAGTCCCAGGACATGCTGCTGGCTACTATACAATACATTTATTATTATAAATGGCAACATCTTGGTCACTTTCACACAACAGCGAACCAAGTAGAGGCTTCGAAATTAATAATCTTTTTTTTTTCTTAGCTGCCATGGAAATCTGGTGCTTGATTCCAGAAATCATGGAGAAGTAGGTAGTAGGAGGGTTTTATGTACTTCTGATAAGCCATCATTTGTTGCTCAGATGCAAAGAACGGCAAAGACTGAGTGTAGTTGCAAAACATAAAACATGTTCTAAAGCAGCCAGGAAGGATGAACATTCAAATACAACTTTGTGCATTCAACATTTTTCAAACATGCTGTACGAGCTGACACTAAGTGAGGCACTCACTAGAGGCACACAGTAACACAGCGTGCCTTTCCTGCTCAAGGAGCTCACAATTTCCAAGGAGAAAGGAACATGTACCATTTATTCTGGTCCTCTAGGGCAAATTTAGGCTTCATGTCTACATCTAGTCTTGCAAAGCACAGACTAGGACACAATCAACTACACAAGAGGAGGTTAAAGAAAGTTTCACAGGGGAGAAGGCAGCTGGGCTTCACCTTGCAGGAGGCACAGGTGTACACCTGAATACGTTTTAGGGGGAGGAAATTACATGAATGAAAGCAAAAAGAGTGAAAATACAAGCTGTATTCAGTAACATGCAGTGTCCAGTGTGGCTGGAGGGGGACTTCCTGGGGGAGGAGCGGACAGATGAGAGTGGAGAAATTGATTAAAGCAAGATCACATCCGGTTTTGGATGTGCCAAAAACTTTGGGAATGTACCTGATAGAACTAGAAAATAACCAGGCCCCCCCCCTTTTTTTTTTTTTAACAACAACACAAGATTGCAAGGAAAAAGGGTGTGTTTCAGAAATATGACTGGCTGCATGGGTCATAGGTGGAAGGCAAAAGGCTGACGACATGAAGGCCAGTTGCTTCTAGATTGTAAGGAACAGATGACCAAACAAACAGAACAACTCTGTAACAGAAGACTTCACAGTTTGATGATGACACCATGGAATGTAAGTTTGCAACTCTGGAATCTTAATTCCTAAAATCTCTATGGAACTCCTAGTTTAAGAAGCACTGCTCTCATTAAAGCAGCGTGAATAACAAAAGACTCCAACATGGGAAATAAAAAGTAAGATTATCTCTGTTCATAGGTGACATGATCTTATCTGTAGAAAGCCCTAAAGATTCCACATATATACACAAAAAAATATTAATGATAATAAACAAATTTAGCAATGTGTGAAAATCAGTTCCATTTTTATACTGTAACAATGAACAAATTTTAAAAAATAAGAAAAAAATTTTGTTTGCAATAGCATCAAAAGAAAAAATACTTGGGAATAAACTTAAGGACGTGAGACTTGCTGAACACTGAAAACCACAAAAATTGTTGAAAGAAATTAAAGAAGACATAAATTGAAAGGTATCCTGTGTTTGTGGATTAGAAGACTTCATATTGTTAAGATGAAAATACTACCCAAATTGGTCTGCAGATCCAGTGCTAACCCTGTTAAAATCCAATGACTTTTTCTTTTTTGCAGAAATAGAAAAACCCATCCTAAAATGCACATGAAATCTTCAAAGACCTCAATAGACAAAACAATCTGAAAATGAAGATTTAAGTTGGAGAGCTCACAATTTCCAATCTTGACACTTACTACAAAGCTATATTAATCAAAACAGTATGACACTAACAAAAGAATGGACACATAAACTAATGGAATAAATAGAAATCCCAGAAATAAACCCTTATATTTGGTCAATGAATTTTCAAAAAGGGTGCCAAGACCATTTAACGGGAAAAATATAGTTTTTTCAACAAATGGTTCAGGAAAACTGGATATCTACCTGCAAAAGAATGAAGCTGGACCCATATATTACATCATATGCAAACATTAACTTAAAATGGGTCAAAGCACTAAAATTACAAAACTCTTAAAATGAAAATATAGGAGAAAATCTTGATGACTTTGGATTTGGCAATGATTTCTTGGATATGATACCAAAAGTACAGGCAACAAAAGAAACGTGGACTATGAAGAGAGTGAAAAGGCAACCCATAGAATGGGAGACAATATTTACAAATCATGTATCTGATAAGAGATAAATACCCAGAATGTCCACAACAACCAACAACAAAACAAACAACCCAATTCAAGAATGGGCAAATAACCTGAATAGACAGTCGTCCAAGGATACACAAACGGCCAATAAGCACATACAAGATGCTCAACATCTCAGTCATTATGGGAATGCAAATCAAAATGACAATGAGATACTAGTTCACCCCCATTTGGATGACTATTAGCCAAAAAAGGGGGAGAGAGATAAAAAGTTTTGGTATGAATAGAGAAATTGGAACTGTTGTGCATTGTGGCCAGGAAGGTAAAATGATATAGTCACTATGAAAAACAGTATGGAGGCTCCTCAAAAAAGTTAAACTCAGAATTACCTTATGATTCAGAAATTACACTCGTAGGTATCCTTTGGGTATCCAAAGGAACTGACCGCAGAGACCCAGGTACTTGCATGCCAATGAGCACAGCAGCATTGTTCACAATAGCCAAAGAGCAGAAACAGCCAAGTGTCCATAAACAGATGAATGGATAAAAAAAATGTGGTTTTTATGTACAGTGGAATCAGTATTCCACTTATTCATACATCAACAAGAATGAAGGTCTAATATATGCTGCAACATAAACCTTGAAAACATTGTGCTAAGTGAAATAAACCAGACCCAAAAGGACAAATATTTTATGATTTCACTTATATGAGGTACCTGGAATAGTAAAATTCACAGAGACAGAAGGTAGAATGGTGGTTTCCAGGGGCTGTGCGGAGAGGAAACTATGGAATTATTGTTCGATGGTTATGGAATTTGTTACAGATGATGAAAAAGATGGTTGCACAGCAATGTGACTATACTTAATACTGCTGCACTGAACTCTTAAAAATGCTTATAATGGTAAATTTGAAGTTATATATATGCTACTACAACTAGAAAAAACCCAGCATGAATAGCACTATTCGTACTACATGTGTTTCTACTGGGTAAAGAATACTGAGTTAACATGTAAGAAGAAGCACTCCATTTCAGCTCCTGGTGGGAGCTGAGAATTGCTAGAAGAAATCGTGGGGCTGAAATTGTGCAGACTGCCCCCTCTTAGCAGAGGGGATCAAGATTTGTCGAAGAGAAAGCAAACTTACATTGCAGTTGGATGAGCCGTCAAATGTCGGGCAAGAACTGTCGGGCCAGTCGGTGGGGTCCAGGGCAGCTGACTGCCGGTGCTGAGCCTCGTACTCCTTGAGCTGCCACAAGAGGAAACGGAAGATTGAAATGGAAATAAGGGCCAGCACTGTCTACCAAGCAGCAGAGAGAGCATTTTGGCACCTTTTTCATGCCATTGTTGCACAAAGTGCCAGCCAAACAAAGGTCTCAGAGTCAAAAGACCCACTCTGTGTCCTGTGGGTTTTCATCTAAATTAAACCAACACAACCAGCTCTTTGTATTCTATTATCCCAAAAAGAACCTCACCCCCCCCCCCAACACACATCAAAACTTATCTTTCACAGTTCAACTGTAAATTCTAAAAAAAAAAAAAGTGGTCTACAGTTTGGCCTCAAATTACCTCTCTTTGTAGGACACACAATGCCAGTAGACTATGAACATTTGGGCAAAACAGATGGAAGCCTGAACCTGATTTTTAAATATCACTTGCTTTTCTTGTTCTAGACTGCTTCAAGTTATCAGGTCAGTGTCCTTACCTGATAAATACAGTGGGGCTTACTTGGGACACTTGTGGATGAGAGGAAAGGAACAAGGGATCTAGAATATGTGCAGAGGTGCTTAAAGTTGGGGGTTTAGAAACAAGGTTTCTCCTTTTTTGAAAAACACAGGAAGTGACATGTTGTAGGAAATTATCAAATGGAATGCAGCAGAATTAGATAAAGGAGCCTTCTGAACGGCTAATGGTGCATTTTCATAAAACACACAGAAATGTAACTCTGTTATATCATACGATGAAACTGTCATTGCATTAAAATTCAACTATAAAGCGGTTTTTATATATGAATTTTAAGACACTGATCAAATCATGTTCCATGAGTAAAGCCACCAAAAAACCAGAAGCGATCCAACCTGACAGCCGAGGCGATGGGGCAACACCGTCCTCAACCGCTGGGGCTATGTGGGTGGGTATGGCCAAGCCGCCAAACTGACAATAGCCTTCTCACAACTTTCCAAAGCATTGCTTCTCCTCCGGAATCCTTTTCTGTGTACACATGTGACTGGAGGTGCACAGGGCAGGGGGGCACTCAGTACTGATTAATGGGTAAGAGCTTAGTTGCAGAACCAGACACCAGCTGAGGAGCCCGTGGGCAAAGTATTAACCGCCTGAGCCTCAGTCCCTCCTCCATCAGAAAAATGGGGATGACAGTAAGTCCGTCTCATGGGACTGTTGCCAGAATTGAGATAAAACAGCAAAGCTCTTAGCGCACTGCATCTATGCCAGAGATGTATTATCCAGCATTATTATCATCACGCTGTGGTTGCAGATAAATGAGAGCTCAAAGTTCAGTCTCCAGGTATTTGCTCTTTTGCTATTAGCAGCAGTAATCTCATTTTAATCTTTCTAGGGTATTAGGGCAATAGTGTGGTTCTACTTTTTGTAGTTCACTGAAGTTACATATTAGAATGCTCTCTCCTTCCAGATATATTAGTTTCTGCAAGGCTACATTCTAGCTGTATTCCGAACAGCTGCCAGCTGAACAATGGGGTTGGCGCTTCCTCTCTCCCGGTCTTGTGTTCCGCTTTTATACACAACTTGAGCCCCAGCTCCTAGGAGCCATGAAACAAACTTCATTGTTGAAAACAAGGCAAATTCCTAATTAGTCAATCATAAACAGAATTTATATTTTTCTTCTGCCATCTGTCCATTTCCTTGTATCATTTCCTTTGGAGGGCAAGAGTACCTGCATTTCTCCAGATGTAGATTTACATCTGTGTCCTACCCAAATTTGCCACTTATTTAATTGTCCTAATTTCAAAAGGCTGCATGTTTTATGAGAGATCCTGTTACAAAACACAGTCCCTAAAATGTTCTTCTTATTTTTTTAATCCTCACCCGAGGACGTTTCTTTTTCTTTTTCATTGCTTTTAGAGAGACAGGCAGGAAGAGAGGGAGAGAGAGAAACATGGATGTGAAAGAGCAACACCAGCTGGTTGCCTCCTGTACACGTCCCAGCCCAGGGATCAAACACACAGCTTTTTGGTGTAGGGGATGATGCTGCAACCAACTGAGCCACACCGGCCAGGGTTCTAAAATGTTTTAAAGGGAAGGAAACCCTGGTTTCATTTATATAATTTTATTTTTTTATATGCCACTCTGCCCCTGAAGAAGTTATGACTTAAATATAATTTCATGAAGAAAAGACAACTGTTAATTTAATTTGAGAATTTATATATTTAAAGCAAATTTATAGAGTTTTAATTTAATTCCAGAACTTTAAAAATAATGACATTTTACTCTGTGTGTGTGTGTGTGTGTGTGTGCGTGTGTCTGAGGAGAAAGTCCTCCCCTAACCCCTGCCTTCCTAGCCTGACGGCTTTCTTGTGCTTGGAGTCTATGCCATGATTCTTACAGGGGCGGGCCATCTTTACTAGATTAATGCATATTCTACCTTGAAGATTTCTAGGGAGAGAGATTCCAGAATGTTCCCATTCCTAAGAGCACTTACTGTAAAGAACATTATATTACATCTCCTCCAAATCCCCGCCAGCTGCAGTTCTAACTCATTTCCTTTCATTCTGTCCTCAGTTGAGATTAAAACAAAACACTCTCCAGTACATCCTCAAGATGTACTGTTTAATAATCCCTCATATATACTTGAGGAAACCGATTAAACTCTTTTCTGCTTCTTCTCTGAGATAAATCCTTTCCCATTTCACCCCATGGGACCTATTTAAAAAAAAACACAAAAAACCAACACCTTAATCACTTTGTTGCTTTCCTATGGACTCTCTCCATGAGCCTCTCTCATTGGCCAAATTTCTGGGATTGACACTCAATAGCTGCTACAAGGGAATAATTCGACAACACATATCAATTCCCAGTTCATGGTGTTGTTCTCTAGTCCACCAGACGCCCAGGCTCCCTTTACAAAACCGTTCGTTCGCCTGCTCCCCGGTTCCTGCAGAGACGGGCTCACATCATCCCTCTGCTCCGGAGAACTACCCTTGGCTGACAAGGCACTGTCTCCCCGGAGGTGCCCAGAGACTGCTCCCTCCTCCCCATCAGGCTGCAGCCTCTTTTTCTCTGGCAGGACAAGTCCTATAATGTCCCTCACCTCCCAGGGCTCCCCCTCCCCAGGGATGTGGGCTGAGCCTAGCCTTCTCCTGAAACCCCATTTCTGTCCTCTGCCTCTCCTACTTCCCTCTCTCGATGAGATGTTTCTCCTGAAAGCTACGCCTAAGAATCCCCATCTCAGGCCCTGCTTCCAGGAACCTGATGGAAGACCCTGGCCTTAAGAAAAGTTCACCATGCCAAACAATCAGTCAAGTCAGTGACAAACGTCACATGCTTTAAAAATATATATATATTGTAAGGACTTCAGTTTGAACTTTCATACATAATGTGACCTTGTGGAACCAGACACGTATTTATCAGATGGCTAAATATGTACTATTTTGTAATTAGATGAAGTTACATGAGCAGTCTTTAGTATTATTATGTTATTTTTTAGAAAATATTATTACATCATGGTCACAGATCTATTTCCTAGAGGCAGTTCTTCTAGATAAAATGTCAAGGGACATATTTCTGTACAACACGGCTCATCTTTGCTGGTGCCATCACGCTAAAACAACAGTGTGCTCTTTCATCCAAACCTTTACAAGTGAGTTTATTCCATACTCTCCCATCCTCACTCACACGCCACAAAAACTACCCAGATAAACGAACACCCTGTGGCTTCCAAACCTTCCAGAGCAAGTCCAAGGTTTGAATACACTAAACTTACTTGTCAAGAGGAAAATTAGCACCTGGAAATTGCGTTCTTTAAATACACCAATTACCTAGATCCTCCTAAACAATTTTTTTTGGAGCTCTACTTCCTTAAAGCATGTGTTAAGTTTTCATCATAAAACTATTAGAAAATATTTGAAATGCCATTAGATTTGACGGAACTATTTCTTTATTCAGTTAATAAAATTTTAAAAATCGTAAGTTAAGCTGCTGTCGTTTTTAAATTATACACTAAAAAAACCCCTACAAAACAAAAACCCACTGTGATTTGTTTCATAAACCTTCAAAGGCCTGTGCAACTTAAGAGTGTTTCACACATTAGTTCCTTGCAGTCTTTTTCATTTTGACCTGGGTTCCTTTTGATAACTAGGTTTTCAGGGGTATGTATCATGGAGTATACTTTACAGTGCAAAAATATTTATCAACAAGACTAAATCCATGCAAACAAAGCATAGTAGACCAACTTGTCTTCGCTGGCACACAGCCAACATTTTCCCCAATACAAGGATGTGCTGGGGGCTGTACGCAGCTCCAGGTGGCACATGGACAAACTCCCCTCCTGATGCTGGCTTGTTCTCTCAGGATTAAAGTCTGTGCGTGGGTCTTCACGCCTCTGACCGTGGGAGAAACGCACCCTGATGCGCTGGAGGAATATTCTCTTTATGGTCATTACAGGAGGTCCGAGTCTTGCTGTTTCCTTTACACAGCAATCATGTAGATCTGGATCCTTGAGCTGGTCCTAGGTCCTTAGGAAGTCTATCCTCTCTGCAGACTATTTTGTGCACTAACATTTTTCTTGAAGTGATTGCACTGCAGCCCATAAGAAGCCCTCGTAGCCACCAGTGGCTGAGGATGTACCTGCGCTGCCAAAGCAGATCACCCAGCTTCCCCTCCTTCATCTGTCCAAGGACGCCCATCGCTGTAGGCAGAACCAAGTAAAGTTTAAAGAATGTCATCAACTTTTTCTTCTGTGTTTCTGGATTGTTCTATAGAAAATACTCTTGATCTCCTGATGAGCTCCCTGCTGAGGCTTGGCCAGGCTGCACAGCTACAACCTCGGCCCAGGTGTGCACAGGGACTTGACTTCTGATTTCCTTTCCATGCAAGCAATGGCTTCCTGCTAAAATTATGTGCTCAGAAAGAGCTTCAAACAATTTTTTCTCCCCAACTTTCAAAGTATTCTGTTGTTTCTTTCTCAATTATAAAACCATGCTACCTTACGTGGACTACGTTAAGGCTATTTTTAACATTTTCTTCTGCTCCAAGAAAACAGGATTCAGCACTTCACATGCAACCCCCTTCCCAAACACAAGTGTTGTCAGACAACCTGCAACGTCTTCTGCATTCGGATCTTCATTTTCACCATGAAGAAAGGAGTGCGCCGGGTTGCTCCCCAGAAAGTGGCCTGCCTCTCAGGGTCAAGCTACCACAGGTCCCCATTTCTCATGCGCCTTTTCTAGGAACTCAAATGGACTTTTCCCAAATGGGATGGCGCATTCAGGAAATAGAACTGGAGAGAAAATGCATGGTGGATGTTTCGCCCCAGCTGGTGGCCAGGCTGGGGGGTAAGAGGCGAGGTGCCGCGGGTCCGGCCAGGCTGAGGACAAAGGGGCAGGCATGGGTGATCAGCAGCACGGACAAGAGGCTGCCACCTGCCACCAGCTCCATCACTGCCCGAGGGACGCTGGAGGCGGAGGCGCCTCCGTTCCTGTGAATCGACAGCGTGGGAGAAGCCAGCAGGTGGCCATCTGGAGGTGGCCTTGGCCCTCAGGACTCCCGCTAAACCCATTCCCACCTTCCATGCCCCTCAAGTATGTTCCTGTGTTTTCGCATTGTCTCAGCAACAAATTAAACTTCTTTTTAAACTGCTGAAGTTTAGAGCCAGGGATGCTCAACTAAATTAAGTGAGCCTGTCACTGTTCCAAGGTGACAAACCTTCGAGATTCTACTCAGTGATAAAGTCATAACTCCTTCAATGGCTTTTCAGTTGACCTGAAAGTTTTCATTAATTTCTCAACCTGTCTAATTCATGACTTGTCCACACAGTAACCAACTCTTCAAAGTGAAACTCCAAGGATCAGTCAGTGTGTTGGGCAACAACAAAGTAGGAAATCTCTTAATGATTGCAATCTCACTGCCCTGAATGCTAACCCAGCGTCCTAAGGGTTAATTTGGCTTCTTTCAGTGTCTAATTTAACTCAGAGCAAAAAATATGGCACACTAACCTGTAATTAATATCTACTTAGAAGTGAAAGTAAGCAAAAAATTTGTTTTCTGAAAGTAAGCAAAATTTTAAGGCATCTCTAAAGTTTAACTTTTAGATCATTCAAAATTGAATTTGTAAAGGTATCTTAAAGAACCGATGTTTATAATGGTCGTAATATGTTTAATTTTTCTTTAGGCTTCACTTAATTTTTACCATTTATTACATTCTTAACAATCATTTTACAAGGCTTGTGCATTCTGCAATGGCATTCAGTCACTTTCCTTGTTAAATTGGTCCACCGCCCACATACATCTGCCGTTCATTCATTCATTCATTCATTCATTCATTCATTGAATAGAGAAATGTTACCTCACACCATGTAATGCTTCTATTAAGCAAATAGAATGGAATCGCTATGTTATTGGACAAGATGGGTACCTGATGACTACCAAAGTCCCATCAAAATACTACTGTGAATATATCTCTATACTCTTTGATGATCTGTCTCAGTCTCTTCACATTGCTGTAACTAATTACCGTAGACAGGCTGACTTATACACAACAGAAATTTCTCATCATTGAGGGTGAGAAGTCTGAGATCAAAGTGCTGGAAAATTTCGTGTCTGGTGAGAACCCACCTCCCAGTTCACAGCCTGCTGTCTTCTCAGCATGTGTCCTCACGTGGGAGGAGGGGGGAGAACGTACCCCGGGGCCTCTTTTAGAACGTCACCCATCCCGTTCCTGGGGGCTCCACTCTCAAGGCCTAACCACCCTACCTCCAAATACCACCCCGTTGGGCACGAGGATTTAACACATGGATTGGGCAGAGGGACAGGCACGGAAACCCAGGTCCCCAGAGCTTTCTCGGGGAGAGGAGGCCGTGTGCACCCATGTGCGAAGCGCGTCCTGCCCTCTTACCCGAGCCAGCGCCTCCTCGATGGTGATCATCTTCTCCTTGACCATCACCATCAGCTGAATCCGCTCCTCGTCACTCATAGTTATCTCACTCGCCACATAGCCCACATCTTCTCCTGGAGAGGGAAGATAAAGAAACGGCAGCAATGAAACGAGACAGCTAAACCAGAGGCCGATCCTGACTAGGTCATCCTCCAGGGCTAGGAAGAAAGAGGGTGCCATCTCATATGACTTTTCCAGGAACTCAAATGTTGTGTCTCGTTGACAGAGAACAGGCGCTCCACGGGCTGCTTCGTAGGGAACCAACAAGCCCACCTCGCTGGGGACGGGCAGCACGAACACACACGGATGTCAGAGCATTTATGATGATGGGTCTAGTGGAGGAGTCTGGGAAGAAAGCCCACAGGGAGTATGAGGTGGGCAGAGACCTAATTAAAAAACCCAGCAAGAGCGGACTGTATCCCAGACTCCTTCAGCTGAGGCTTCCTCATATCCTCCCATTTGGAAAATGCACGAGAAGAAAATGGTTGGGGGAAAAAGTGGGATGGAGCCCTCTGCTATGACGAAGGAAGGTCACAGAGTCAGCTTCGTTGCAGCCTGAGAAACCCTAGATGCCTGCCGAGCTCTCTGACTCGTGTTCCTCAGAGGATCGGTACAAATAAATAAAATCACGGATGGGAAGCATTCCGGGTCATTGGATGGGAAGTTCTGTAAATGCACACATCTGAAAGTTCCACTGGCATAAACGTTTCCAAACCATGAGGGGAACTCCACTTCCAACTTGAAACTGAAGGCAGCCAGAACCGCAGGGGAAAAGAGAATCCCGGTTAGGTTTCTCCAAGTGTTCCCCTACAAAGTAAACAGGGTGCCCACGCCCCTGACGTCTGGGGCCACGTTAGCTGCGTGCCTCTGGCCAGTGTGTGGGTAAAGGTCTGTCAGTCTGTCGGTGCAAGCAGGCTCTCATACGCACGCTGGGGGTAAGCCCTCAGATTAGTCCCTCATCCTTCTCCATCTGCCCTGTCTTCCCCATACAGGCCTCACCAGCCTGGGTGTCGCTAGGATGCTGGGCCACAGCTTAATTTGCCCTTGGCGTAAAGGGACGGGGGACAGAGGCTGCCCACACATCTGTAGGGGCCCTCCCATCAGGATCTACCCTGGAATCTATGTTCCCCTGTGTTTCCCTTTCTCATTTCCATTTTGTAACCCATCAGTCCAGACATACCGTTCAAGTTCCCTTTGCCCCTTGCCCCCCTGCACGGGAGGAACGATAGAGCGGGCTGGGTAAGGGGCAAAGCCCGCTGGTTGGACTCACGTTTCTCTCTGTGTCACCGCCAGCGGTGGCGGTTGGGGGTGGGGCGTGGGGTGCTGAGTTGGTTGGGTTTTAAAGGAAATCTACATGCTCTGGTTAACTTCCAGTGCCCTCCCGTGTTCCCTCCACCCCTTTCTCTCTCCCTCTCTCCTTTTCTTTCCCCCTAAAGACGGCTCTGTTAGAATCCAAGGTTTACTTTGAATCACAAGTGATTCTGGGTGTGTACCAGAGGAAAAACTCAGAGTGTTTAAGAATAACTCTGTTTAAGCAGGACAAATTTAAAAAGAAAAAACCCACTGAATGTCGCCAAAGAAGCCAGGTGCACTGCTGGCATGCATACTGTCTGCGTCCACTCTTCTTGTTTCCATGCGTATGAAAACCTGGAGAAGCCTTCTGAACAGGGTAGGATGCTAACATTTTGGAAAATCGAGTAATGCCAAGGGTGAGCAATGAAAAATGCTCCTGTACGAATTACCTCCCCCAGCAGGACTGGAGTCTGGAAGTGGCTTTATTGCCATTCCCCTCTGAAGGCCTGGGAGGCATAAATTATGTAACTGGGCCTCAGAGGGATGACATATTTACTTACTGTATCAACAACAACAAAGACCCAGCCAGGAGGAGGGCAAGACTCCCTTCACAAAGCAGCTCTGGACAAATTCCCATGATGTCAGACCATGAGATAGTTTCCAGGGGCAGCAACCCTGCGACCGTCCCTTCCGCAGACGAGCGTCTGAAGTTCAGAAGACGGCAAAGGCCCACGGGCGGGGCAGCGGGGAGGGTCCCCAGCTAACACACCCTCGAATTTCGGGGCCCATCTGGGAGAGTAAAGATGTGCTGGAGGTTTGGTGTGATGGAGAAACCTAAAACTTCGGTCTTTGCTGTCAGATCTATGCACAGAGAAGCCTGCCAGCTCTCCCCATTCTGTTTCCTTTGATTAAAAAAAAAAAAAAAAATCCCCACTGGGATGAAGTTTTAAAGTAATGATAGGAATGTCAGGAAGTTGAACATTTTATGGGCACATGCGATGAGTTATTCTAACTTGCAGCAACCGTTTAGATTAGAGACATAGACATCTTAACATCCGAGAGCTAAGAGGCCCTACTGTCTGCCAGCTGCTTCAGTGGTACCTTTTGAAGTCTGCCTCATTATTCCTTTCTGGTTCTTCCGGAAGTTCTGCCAGAAATACTTATTTTTCTTCTTCCAATCTCCTTTTCCTTTAAAAAAAAAAGACACAAGCAATAAACTCGTTAATAACACAAGTATAGCCCCTTCCTTCTCATTCAAAGCTTGCAAGAGTACTTTGATTTCATGAAGACAGTTTTTCACTTTCAGTTTGTGATAGACTTGAAAATGCCTATAAAGTTGTTTAAAAGAAATGCAAATTTCCTTGTAGGAAGAAATGCTGCAGTAGGGATAAGATGAGCAATAAGAAATCATCAAACAGGCAGGCAAAATATGCATTCTTATATTCTCTTTGATGTTTGTTTAACTAGTATGTCTAATTCTGCCAAGTCTCCTGGTATGTCCCCCACCCCCTTCGGTCTCAGCCACAATTAGTTCAACGAAACCACAAATAGGATACTTTTGGAAGTTCACTCTGTTTTGTTGTTACTCTTGCTGTTGATCTCCCCTGCGTTTGCTTCTGTCACCCGAGAATGAATGACAAGAATGGTTAGTACGCCCTGGGCACACGGGTCCACGGGGCGGCTCCCAGGCCTGTGGGGGGCCCCAGGCCACTTCTTCAAAGTGTGGTGCTCACACACGCCCAGCAACGACACAAGTGGGGTAGGGTTCCCAGCTCTGCGGCGTGAGGCCACCTGGTGACCTTCCTACAGCTTACCCAGGGCACAGCAGCAGAACAGCAGGCTGCCACCCTGCTGTGACATGCCCCCCTCCCCCTCCCCCCCAGGCGGATATGGATGGGTGACTTTCAAGTGAAAGCAAATTGTCACAGCTAGACATTTTTAATATCTGGTAGGGTCCTGGTCATCAATACGTAATAACTTTTAAAGAGCAACAAGAAACAAGGTGAATAAAATAAAAGGGTAGAGGGACCCTTTGTTCTTTAAGAACAAAATGCAGCAGCACAGCGACCCGTGGTCCCGTGGAGACGTGGGTCGCTCAAGGCGGCTTCATCTCCACTTGGTGTCTGGTGGCCCCAGAGCCCCGGAGAGGGCCCGGTAGAGGGCCACACTGTTGGTTTCCACAGTCTGGACTGGTGGTGCCAGGCAACGCTACAGAAAACAGACACGTGGGAACCAGAAAGGGCAGCGCCTGTCAAAACAGGATGCGCTCATCTAAGCTCCGACACCCTCTAGGGCCAAGGAACGGAACCGGCGCCGGAGCCTGAGACTCTGGTGAACTCGGAAAGTCGCGGGGACGCCTCAGGGCGCCCGGCTGCCTCTGGGTTAAACGCTAGAGCAAATGTGGGCCGGGAAAGGTTAAAGCAGAAGTAGGACATTACTCATTCAACCTTCCTCCAGGGCAGTCTGGAACATAACGCATTTCTTTGACTATAAACTACACTCTCCCTTCTCCCATTTTATTGTTTCTGAAGTGAAGATACAGCTTAAAAAAATAAATGGAACCAGCTAACATTTATGTAGCACTTCCTGCATCCAGGCACTTTGCTATCTAACAACATGTCTCATTTAATGTTCACAACGAACATATATTTGAACATATTTGGTGGATAAGAAAACCGAAGCTCCGAGAGGCAAGGGCTGTGCCCGGGGTCCTAACTATTAAGTTGGCAGAGTTATGAATCAAATGCAGATCAAAGCCTGATTTGAGCACTCGTGCTAATGCTCCTGATCACGATTACTGTGCCATGTCGCCTCTGACCCAAACAGAAAAGGTGTTCCTAAATCCAGAGTGGGTTTTATAATCAAGGAAATAGAAAACTTATAACACCTCCATTGTGTATAATCTTAGATTCAAAAGTTCCAAATCGAAGGATTTATCCTAAGAACATGATCAGGGATAGGCTCAAGGATTTTTATGGGAGCATCTTTCTCTGTGATCAAGAAAAAAACTGGAAACTAAATGGTCAGCAAAGAAGCAACTGGTCGCTAAAATGAAGGCACATCCAACATGGCAGATTCTCATCCTGAGGTGAAAATTTTACTGTAAACAAAGCTCAGCCATTGGGAAAATGCGCCAGACATATGCAATTGAAAAAAATTATAAAATAATATGTAGGCCATAATCCCAACTATGTTTTTTGTAACCCACCCAAATACAGTGAAAAAGAGGGGGAAATTGGACATCAATACGTTAATGCTGTTTATTTCAGGGGAGAAGGCTTCTTTACGGTTTTTGTATTTTCACATATTTATGGATTCTATAAACTATTAGAAGAAGATAATTAATTTTAAATAATAAACCTAGAAAAGAGGTACTGACCTACAGAGCTGTCTTCTGAGTTTGACTTCCGGAGAGAGTTCCTAGAAAAGAGAAACAGGGCTGATTACCAGGGAGCCTCGCCTTGGCGGGAGAACTGACAGTGCCCCTCAGCACGTCGAGCCAACATCAATACCACTCAGCAGAGCCAGGAACATTTTTATAGGATATTTACCAATGGCCTTTTCTAGCCATCGACTGCCTTTCTAGAAACACACACATGCATCATTTGTCAATGTTTATTAAGGACTCACCCCAGGGTAAGACCTATATTAAATAAAGGGAAGGGACCTCACGAGGTGATCACTGAAGTATCTTCCATTTCTGTGAACTATTAACAGCCCATGAAGTTACCACCATTAGGAAGTCTCTTGTGTAAGTGGAAAAAAGAAGGCATAGAATGATGAAAATACAGACCAAGGCCCCACAGATGCCATTTGGGCCAGGTGAGTCAGGTGGTCGGCTGTAGAAGAAATAACTGGGGTGGCGGGGGACCCACCCAGCAAGAGTCTGGACACCCCAAACAGAGAGGGCAGCCAGTGTGGAGGTCGTCCAGTCGGCAGATGCCAACTGGCAACCGCACTATGCGTGCTGCTACATCGTCCAGCGTTCACAGAGAAGTCAGAACGCTGCTTTTTTTAAAATGACAGCTCCACATTTTTAAGTGATGGCAAATAACTCAATGTTTCTAAAACGTGTCCAAGTTAATCAAGACGTGTCTGAGCGTGAGATTTGGTCCACGCCCGGCCCCAGCCCAGTTGCCAGTTTGATTGCTGACATAGATGAACCCCCAAAACCTGAAACGTGAACACAGCCCCAAACCAGGTAATTAAGCATTTCCCCGGCAAATCTACAGACTTACAATTTTTCCATTATTTATATCTACTTTCTTCAAATTATTATACATTTTGAGTAATTTATCCTTGGGTTTACACTTTGGATTTTTTTCATTTTGTAAGCGGTGCTTCCACTAGACATCTCTTGCATTTCCCTAGGACACCAGCAGATGGCACTGTAGATTCTTTATTCATCTTGCCATGGCCAGTGGGGATTTTATTTGTAAAATTTCACAAGTTCAGTCTAGATACTGGCCACAGAATGGCAATGTTTCATAAATGTGAGGCTACCCAACTCATCAATTTGCAAAGGGGGAAAATGACACCACATGAAGTTTGATTTGGACGCAGCGAACTGTCCCCGCAAACAGAAGCTGGCAGAGCAGCGATGCGAAATGCCATCTCCTTTCTCCTTGAGACTGATTATAAAATTCATCCAGCAGGAGTGAGAATCAATGAGGTAACCAAATTCCAAATTTGGATGGCAGCAGGTGGAAGGGGTCATTTACTGATCTCCCGGTGGAAGAAATTAATGCTCAGAAGTCAGTTCCAAAGGCCTCCTGGTAACAAACACATCCCTCCAGCCAGACGCTAAGACCTGAAAATGGCAGTTCGGGAAGCAACTGTCAGGCCCTCTCTGTCCGTCACGTTCACTGCCAACGGGGCCAAAAAGAGGGGAACTTCCACATGGATTTCGATGGCTAGGAAGCAGTAACAACATTCTGCTGCACTTTGAAAGCCGATGTAAGCATTTAAAAATCATGAAGTTTTGCATTAAAGTCTCTGAACTCTATCTTAGTGCCTTTTCATTAACAACTATGGCTATGAGACTCCACAACAGCATGCATGTTAATGTTTTCCCTCAAGATCCCCAAACTCCTTTAGCCCTCAAAAAAGCCCTAAAGGAAATTCATAAGGAATTCATAAATTAGATTTTAAAAAATTAAGACAGCATCCCTAGAACTTAACCAAGTCCTTCTATCCTACCTCAGTGTTTAGTAAATTCTATGTTAAATTGCTTCCTCCATTTTCTTCCGCCCTCCGTCCCTCCTTCCCTCCCTCCCTCCCTTCCTTCCATAAATATTTGTTTGGCCCCCATTACAGTCTGCCTTCCTCTCAGGCACTGCAAACAGTGATAAAGAAGACAGGTAAGATCCCTGTTCTCTTGGAGCTAGGATGGGGAGAGGAGCAGGGTGCGGGATACAGATTAAGAAGTGGGGAGAATTTCAGATGGAACGGACAGAGAAGCCCTCTCTGAAGAGATGACAGCTGAGCAGAGACCTTAATAACGTGTTGACATAACATGCAGTCCCCCAAATGGGGGGACTGGGTCAGGAAGGGCAGAGGAGGAAAGGAGTTTGGCCGTGTTGCTTATGAGCATCCTTGTGGGGATGCAGGGGAGATGGGATGTACGGGATGCGAGTTCTGGGGAGTTGTTGAGGGCTGTTGAGGAAATTTGGAAGTCGCTTACATATCAAAAGCTAGGAGACACACGAACCTAATGGGGAGAAGCTGTATTGAAGGATGAGCTCAGGGACAATCCAATTCTCAGGGGCCAGGAAAAGAAGATGAAGCAGGCAGTGGGACTTAGGGGGAGTGGTCAGTGGGGGGAATGAAGAGCAGGAGAGCACCTTTTACCTTTTCCAACTCGGATAATATTAAAATCATTTTTACACAAACGATATTACTGACTCAAACGTCACGAGAAGAGTAAATCCTAGGTGGCCCCTTTTTTTACTGAGTCTATGGCTTCTCAGCAGAGAGCCTCGTAAGACCACAGAGAAGGAGAAACTAACACATGTCAAAACTGAATTCTTTGCATCTGTATAAAATGCTGTCCCTTAAAGAAAACACACTCATTGATCCTCCCATCACAGAACAGGATTATCAGAGAGACCTGGGAAGATGACCTGCCTGAAGACCCAGACAGAGCTGGCCAGGGGCCGATCCCGGTGCAGAAGCCCTGGCTCAGACCCGAGTTCAATGGCCTGCCCACGTCGCCATACTGTTTCCTGTTTACAAAACAGAAATTCATAGAGCATGTTCTGGCCCTGTTCTTGTAAGTTACTGAGGTGATCCTGAGAAGAACTTGTGAAGACAGAGCATGTTTTCAACACCAAATTCGAACATGGCCTACGGGTTTATTAAGAGTAAGTATTTCAACAACACCTTTCAAGATTTGGTTGTGTTGTAACCGCTTGATCCTCTTGTGTGCTTGTGGAAGGAGAGGGGGCCAACCAATTTGGCTCAAATTCACTTTTCTTCTCATGTCTATTTATATACAAATAGTCGGAGACACCTCCAGGCAAAGACAACTCTATCTCACTGGTACACACTTAGTCTGGCACACCAGGCAAGTAGAATGACTGCCCAGGCACAAAGGAATTCCTAAAATAGACTTCATGTTTTTGTTTTGATGGACTGTCCAGAAACATCATAACAAAAAAAGAGAAAAGAAAAAAGAAAGAAAGGAAAAAAGGGGTGGAAAAAAAGAAAGGAAAACTGTTATAACCCAGTGTCTAAGACAGGAACATATGTTATGCGTTACTAGAAAACCTATACTTGAGGGACTTTTTTAAGGTTCTTTATCTTGAGTCTCCGGAAATACACTTCTCCATTAGTTTCTTTCCTGCTGAATTCTGAATCGGGGCTTTTGCTGTGTGTCTCGGTCTTTTCCTGCACCATCCCAGGCCTGCCAAGGCTGTCCCCAATGCCAGCAGCGTTCTCCTGAGGACACAGAGAAAGGGCTGAGACAGCTGTGCTACTGAATTGTGCATGTCCAGGGGGACGTGGAGGAAGGTAAAGGTGTTGAGCAGCGTTTAATAAGTTGCTATTTTCCTTTTCTTTATGACTTAAACATAACTACTCATATTCATATTTTGCATATTTAATGACAAATAATTTTGTGTAAAATAAGTAATTCCTTAATTTGATATGTCTGATTACCCTTTGGGTATCAAAGGTATTTTTCATCCTAGGAGTATATATCTCTCGTCTATTTGATAGAAATATATATGAAACAAACTCCTATTTACACTATCTACTGCCTGTAAAAATGCAAGGGCCGGCCCCTTTCTCAGCCCCAGGGCCAGGACTCGGGCGAGGCAAGAGGCACAGAGCGTCCACAGCGCGGGAGGTGCTCGCCTCACGGGCAGGTGGGTGCACGGGGTGAGCGCCACCTCAAAACCCCAGCCTGCGTGCCTCTCTCTTTCCCTTTGGGATCGGGCCCTTCCAGGCCAACAGCTGCTGCATTTCACACACAGGATAGAATTCAGCTTTGCAAAATCACTGGCTTGGATGGAAAGTAATTCTATTGCCAAAGTCTGGCATATTGTTAGAACTCCCTGGCTATTCAGTATGAATGACAACGTGGGTGACATTTTGTCACTCTGGTGAAAATAACCCCACGGAGGCTTTTTCTTTCATTTCCCAGTCTGTTTCCAGGCTGTACTTTCTGGCTTTTATCACAAGGTCACCTTCCTAAACGAACATGCAGGTAGGTGTCTGAAGTACCAAATCCAAGGCCCAAGGCCAGGCGCTCACACACTCAGGAGTCAGGCGCACCTGGGACGGCCCTGCCACAACCTCAGCCACACTTCCCTTTCATGTGATGTGATGAAGATACAATCAGTACCCACCTTAATGGGCTATTAGGAGAGTTACATGAGACGGTGAATGGAAAGAGCTTAGCACAGCGCCTGGCACTTGGTAAGTTCCCCAGAAATGTGACCTCTTATAACTCTTCTCCGGAGCACGGCCGCTATGCAGCTCCCAGAGGCTGGCAGTTTCTGCATTGCCCAGGTTCCTCCTTTTTTTTTTTGTTTTTTAAACTTACTTCTTTCAAATATTTTGGATGGATATAATAATTTCTTTCTCTTCTCAATCACACTTCACACCACAATTCATGTTTTTCTTAGAATTAAAAAGAAAACCCACACCAATGACTGAACATGATGTCAATGCAGAGTCACATGGGCCACTTACTGGTATCTAGACGTGAATAACGTTATCTCAACTGTTTTCCTAAGGCCCACTATCCAGGAAGCTGCCCAGAAAAATGACTCCCAACATGGCTTCTGGAATCCAACCCCTAAGGTTCAAAAGCCCAACTCTATCACTTACTAACTAGTAACTTTTGGCACAAGTGACTTTGTCCCGTTAAATCCCAGTTTCCTGCTATGCAAAATATAGACAATAATGTTACTGAT